GGTGGCTCAGGGTCCCTGCCCCACCTGCCCCCGTCAACAACTGAGATGTGCTGGGCAGTGAGTTAGGTACTGCCGGGTTACAGGGCTGAAGCGGCCTTGCCTGGGGGCTCGCCTCTCATAGAGGAGGGGGCAGTAGTGAAAGATACGCCTCCGCCTCGTGCGGGGCAGGCTGGGGGCTGGAGAAGATAGGGGTCGTGGCACAGAGGTAACGGGCCTTGGGGGAGGCAGTGAGGACCATCCAGTGGTGTCACTTCACAGTCTGGGTCCCCAGGAAAACCTCCAGGAAACTCTCACTACTCACTGTCCCGGGTGGGGTGGATGACAGGCCTGGCAGGGGTACCCCTGGACGGGAGGGGCCGGCATGGGCGCAGGTACCCAGAGAGCTGGGCCAGGGAAACAAGAGCAGGAAAACCCAGGCGTCGGAGCAAGCCAACGTCCCAGAGTCCAAATCCACAAAAGTTAGGTCTGGGATGAATTCCAAGGGATGAGTTGGGGGCCAGAATGAGAGACAAGGCTGCGAGGATGAAAAACTGAGTTGATTTCAGAACATAAGCAAAAACACGTAAGAAAAACTCATGGGTCCTGGACAATGGCCACCAACACATCCCTGACCGTGTGGTTTTGGGGGATGAGCTTGATTTGCAGGCACAGGGTGGAGACGGGCCCTTGGGGTCCATCCAGGCAGTCACCACCACCTCTGGTTTCCCTGGTCACAGAAGCCCTCTCAAGCTCTAGCAAGGAAATCAAGAGGGGGCAGTCATGACAAGGATGCAGCGGGTAAAATCAAGGCTATGGAAACTTGCAGTATAACTCCATCTCAGGGTGACTAGACGTGGAAAGCTGCCAGCGTCTCAAGCATCCGTCTTCACTCCAGAGCACCAGCCAGTCTCCTACCTCTCTTCACTCAGTGGCCCCTGACCTCCCCTTCCTGCTACTCTTTGTACCCTTTCTGTTGACCAGCATCTTCTGTTTGCACGAGGCCCAGCATAACAGGGCGACGGCTGACCACCAAAGGACCCGGTCCTACAATCTCTAGTTCCCAGCCCTAGGAGAGCAATCTGATCGCTCACCCTGTGCGTCAGGGGTCTACCCTGATCCAGTGGGCTGTGACCACAGAGCAAGAGGCGGAGGGAGAGGGATCACGTGGTAAAAAATTAGAGGCACAAGAGCAAGAGTGGCCATGAGCAAAGCTGGCCACAGAATCTGTGTTTGGCAACAGAGGAACAGGAGAATAACCACAACAGTAATAATAATAGCAAACACCCATGGGGGAGCTACTATGCAACAGGATACCGTTCTAAGCACTTTTCATATATTTATTCATTTAATCCTCACTACAATTTGTAATGCAGCTATAATGTCTATAAATCTATAATCTCTATCTATATTGTATCTACATGTATTATTATTATTCCCACTATATAGATGGGGAAACTAAGGCTTGAAGAGATTAATTAACTTCCCAAAGTCACATAGACAGTGAGTTGTTGTTGTTTTTGTGTCTTTTTGTTTGTTTGTTTGTTTTTAAAGGACACAGGAGCCAGCCTAAAGGGGTTCCCACTGGTCAAATCTGGGACACACTATTTATTTATTTATTTATTTATTTATTTATACAATTCCCCTTTTCTTTTTTCTGTTTTTTTGGGCCATGCAGGATCTTCCCTGACCAGGGATTGAACCCAGGCCTCCTGCATTGGGAGCGCAGCATCTTGACTGCTGGACCGCCAGAGGAGTCCGATAATGAGTTTTTAGACGTTTCTCTATTGAACCTCAGTCTTGGGTGATTTAACTTCTCTGTGCTTCTGTTTCCTCCCCTGTAAAATAGGGATTACAACTGGACCTACCGAGTGAGGTTGCTGAGGGGATTAAGTAAGATGATGCTCTTGGCCAGTTTCCCAGTGTCTTAGTCAGCCCAGGCCGCCATAACAAAATACCACAGATTGGATGGCTCAGACAACAGAAACTTACGTTCTCAGAGTTCTGGAGGCTGGAAGTCCAAGATCAAGGCACCAGCTCCTCCTGGCTTACAGATGGCTGCCTTCTGGCTCTGCCCTCACATGGTAGGGGGAGAGGAAGTGTGGGGGAAGCGGAGAGAGAGACAGAGAGAGAGAGGCAGAGGGAAGGCTCTCTTCCTCTTCTTGGAAGGCCACAGTCCTATCAGATCAGGGCCCCACCCTTATGACCTCATTTAACCTTCATGACCTCGTAAGACCCTATCTTGAGATACAGTCACACTGAGGGCTAGGGCCTCAACATACGGATTTTCTGGGGACACAATTCAGTGTCTGGTGCCCGGCAAGGGTTACCATCCTGTAAACATCAGGCATCATCATGGTGGTGTTTATCCTACAGACCCAGGCTTACTGGATGGCAACATTACTCACCACTTTCCTCTGCAGATGAGTGGCCAGAACTCCAGGTCCTGCACACTCCCACCCACATTCCCTGTATGGTTAGAGCCTGGAACAAGCTGTGACTCACCCGGCTCAACCTCTTTACTTTTCAGGTAAGAAACCAAAGGCTGAGAGGGGCTGAAGGGCTCGTTGACCAACCGGGACCAGAACTCTGGTGTCTCGGTTCCTGGGCAAAGCAATTTCTCATGTCTCTGGTTTTGCCGCAATTTCAGTTTGCTACTGGTTAGGACCAATGGGCACCAACCGCTGCACGTTCCCCAGAAAGTACTCCGCCTGCAATCCCTCTCTCTGTCTCATGTCATCAAACACTCCTGGTACTAACACGGCCCTTCAGGGCATCTGGACCATTGTAGGTATTGCCGAAAATCCTAAGAGCTGACCACAGGGGTCAGCGGGGCCGGCAGTCAGAATTGTAAAGTTTGCAGCAAACTCTGTGAATCAGTATCTTGTTCCGTGCATAAACTCTGGGAAATGGATCCAACCCGCATCCAGTGGGGAGATCGGGTGGGCTTCACGATAGAGATCCTCGGTGGACATGGAATAGGGATGGGTCGTGCTTGCTCCCTGCTGGGTCCTCCATTTATCGGGGGAAAGTCGGCCCAGCACCACCCTCTCTAACCTTCACTTTCTTCATCAGGAAACAAAGAGAGTGGCCTGGTCTCGACTCCATGTGGGAGTCATTGGATGTGCCCGACCCCTCTGTCCTACAATTCTAACCAAGTGCTCTTCCTCCTGCCCTGCTTGGTGGCTTTCCTGGAATCGGCCAGGGCCAAGGCAGGAAAGTCTGAATCCAGACTGAGAGGTGACAGCAGCGGGATGCAGTCAGTGGCTTAGGATCATGGCCTTCGCTGTTGGGTTGTGTGCATCTCCACCAGATGTGCAAAATCTTGAGGAGCTCCTGAGCCTTCTTCTAAGCAGAGCAAGAGGCTTCCTGGAGGTCATAGGCCTGGGGCACGTCCTTGAGCACCTCTAACGGCCCCCGACCTGCCCACCCTTTCTCCCCAGCAGCCTCAGTGCCCCGCCAGCTGGGGCAGGACAGTGGGCTGGGCAGAACCTCCACGGCTTCTTCCTGCTCCTTTTCCCCAGCCAGGGCTGAGCTGGCAACGCCTGCCATGCCAGCCCTGGACACACCTGTCGAAACAGAGCCACAGGAGAGGAGGGTGAAGAACTGACAAATATATTCTGACCACGCCGTGCTTTCCAATAGGGCGGGCCGGGCTGACAAGGAGCTGCCTGGACACATAGGCTGGCGGCGCACTGAGCAACCTCCCTGGGGATTCGTTTTCCTTGCCTTCACCTGTCCAGTCCTTTTGTTTTCTTTTGAATGCTTCGAAGGGCAAGGCTCTGTGTCTGATGTAATGGGAGAGGTGCAAAGGCTGGTGCAGTGCCCTCAGCAGGGCAACCGCCCAGGAACCCACAAAAATGCAGACTGCGGGCCTGCACCCCAGACCCACTGCTTCAGGACCACAGAGATGGGGTGGGACAGGAGGAGTGAGGGGGAGAATTCCCCAGGGAATTCCAACGCCTCATGTAAAACTTGAGAACCACAGGCATAAGAGACAGAGAAAGGAAAATATTTTTTTCCGATTTATGTATAGTATCTCATTTAATCCTCATGAACTAAATGTATTTACATTTTATAAGTCAGAAAACAAGGCTCAAAACAGTAAGTTGCTCAAGCCCACGTAGATATTATGTGGATTTGAACCCAGGATTAATGGAAGCCAGCTATGCCGAGCTAATGCCGACCAGGGTTCTTGGCCTTCCCCAGTCAATAGAAATTGATAAGAGGCCAGACAAGAAATTCAGGCAAGGGTTTACTGGGGCCCCTGCTCCCCAAGCAGGGGCACGAGCTGGTTCCTTATATGGGGTGAGGGTAGGGATGCGTCCAGGGGTCAGGCCGGAGGGGTGGCTTAGGAGTTTTGCCCACTCCTTAGGTGGTGCTGGATGCAGGTGGCATGCACAGTGCCCTGCTTTTGCTCCCTGCTCTTCAGAAGTGGCAGTTGGGGGGTTTTTTGGTCTTTTTGTATCTTTTTGTCCAGAATTTGCCCCAACTGCACCCGCACGCAGTTAATTTTAGTCCCTTATAGCTTCTTTGTATTTCGTCGCTCAAGGAGATGTTTGTCCAGGTGTAAGCATTGTAGCAAGGGGCCCCAGGTCCCAGCCTGTCTCAGAGCTACCTATTCCAGAATGGTGGGATCGGGAATTCAGTGGGGCCTGAGAAAACCGAGATCCACAGAAACAGACTTGCTCAAAGTCCCAAAGCAAGCTAGTGACAAAGCTGTGACAAGGCCCCAAGTCTCAGGGCTACCAGGCTTCCCCATCCTGACTGCCTCATCACTCAACATGACGATGGACTAGTGAGAACAGTGCAGGACTTGGAGACAGGAGTGCGCTTCCTGCTGTGAAAGTTGGAGGCTTCCACAAGGAAGCCAGATGCCGACCTTTAGCCAGGCTGCTAACCTCCCTACATCCTTCTCTCCAGACCCAAGGTCTCCAAAACGGGCGCCCAGCCAAACCGTCCAGCGGGGAGGAACAAACTTTTAAATATTAAAACATCTTCCTGTTGTGTTTTATTCATTCAAGGTCACACTTTGTTTTCACATAATCGGATCTGACATGAAGTCAGCCAAAAAAGTGTGGACTGATCAAAAATATGACTTGAAAATAGATTTATATTTATTATCCTTCATGATCAACATCATTCTAAGTGCAATTTTGCTTTGAGACATTAACCAATAATAGAAACACAGAAAATAATTCATAAATAAATTTACATATATTAGGAGATCAAAGAAATAATCCCCCAAGTTTTTTTATTAATGGGGGTTGTGATCAAAACATTTGAGGGCTTCCCTGGTGGCGCAGTGGTTGGGAGTCCGCCTGCCGATGCAGGGGATGCGGGTTCATGCCCCGGTCCGGGAAGATCCCACATGCCGCGGAGCGGCTGGGCCCGTGAGCCATGGCCGCTGAGCCTGCGCGTCCGGAGCCTGTGCTCCGCAACGGGAGAGGCCACAACAGTGAGAGGCCCGAGTACCGCAAAAACAAAACAAAACAAAACAAAACATTTGAACACCACTGCCCTAAGCCAACTCTGTTTCTTCTGACATTGTCCCTTGTGATAAAGCAGAGTTCCCCCATATGAAAGGAAGAAAGAATCTCCACCTGATGATTTTAACCAGATTTATAACCTGATGGTTGCTTCTTTTTCTGAACTCCCAAAACCTCTAAATGCCTCCAACAAGCTTGACCCACAAGTTTATAATTTGGAACTTGCTTGCTCCCCATCATCCATCGTTGTTCTTACTTCAGCTTCACAAAACAAGCTTCTGGACATAGAAACATTTAAAAACTGAATAGGCAGTGTGGATATCCCACTGAGTTTGTTCACTCAGAGATCATTGGTCCCACGGGTTGGAAGGAATAGAGGTCAGAGTTTAGGGCTGCCAAGGCAGCTGGAATTGGGTACCGGACAGGGTACTGGGCAGGAGGGAGCTGTGCAGAGGAGGATCCCCAGAAATCTGCATAGAGCTCCCCTGAGTGGTTGGCTGAAATATACAGGGCAAGAATCTGTGCAGGCCTGTGAGCTGACCCTGAACTAATTCTAGACCAACAGCAACAAGGCCTAAAAACAAAACAACACCCCTCTCTCAGTATTTGAAACAGAATAAGTAAGCAGAAAAGCCATGAGGATATAGAAATTTGAACAGTACTGTCAACCGATTTGACCTAATGATGTGAGAACACTGCACCCAGCAACGGTTGAATATTCATTCTAAACTGATATTGTAAGCACGACATACCAACATTTGTTGGATGCAGATAAAGCAGTGCTTAGAAGGAAGTATAGAGCTTTAAACGACTATATTAAAAAAGAAGAAAGCTTTTTAAATCAAAGAACATAAAATACTTGGGAATAAATTTAACAAAATTGGTATAAAATCTCTACATATAAAATTATAAAATGCTGCTCAGAGAAATTTTGAAAGACCAGAATAAATGGAGAGATACACATGTTCATGGATTGGAAGACTCAATATCATGTATTCTCCCCAAACTGATATATAGTCAGTGCGGTCCCAAACAAAGTTCCTGCAGGCTTTTTTGTAGAAATGGAGAAGCTGATGCTAAAAGATACATGGAAATATAAATGACATAGAATAGCAAAAGAGAAAAGAAAAAAATTATTGGAAAAAAGAACGAATTTGGGGGACTTACATTGCCTGATTTCAGTGGTTAATATGAAGATATAGTAATCAAGACAGTATGGTATTGGCACAAAGATAGACAAATGGAACAGAGCAGAGTCAGAAAAAAGTTCAATACTAAATGGTCAACTGATATTTTTTCACAAAGGCATCAAAAGAAATCAATGAGAAGAAGAAAGATTCTTTAAAAATGGTACTGGGACAATTGAATATCTAAACAGGAAAAAATATATATCTTGACTCCTACTTCATACTATACACAAAAGTCAATTCAAGATGGGTCAAGACCTAAACTTAAAAATTAAAATGTAGAGCTTCTGAATAAAATGCAGAAAAATACCTTCATGATCCTGGACTGGCAAAGATTTCTCAGCTGAAACAAGAATAGCATTAACCATAAAAGAAAAATATAATAAAGCAGATTTCATAAAATTAAAATCTGCACATTAAGAGAGCCAGTTAAGTAAATGATAAGGCATGTCACACATTGGGAGAAAATATTTGACATATAATTTATAAATAGAATATATAAATATCTCTTGCAACTCAGTAACAAGAAGATAAATAACCCATAAAAATAGGTGAAATGCTTGAACAGACACTTCACAAAAGATACTAGCGCATGAAAAGATGATCGACATCATTAGTGATTAGGAAAAGACAAATTAAAACCGCCATGAGATACCACTACATACCTGTTAGAATAGCTAAAATTAAAAAAACAGACCAGGACTTCTGTGGTGGCACAGTGGTTAAGAATCCGCCTGCCAATGCAGGGAACATGGGTTCGAGCCCTGGTCTGGGAAGATCCCACATGCTGCTGAGCAACAAAGCCCGTACACCACAACTACTGAGCCTGCGCTCTAGAGCCCGCGAGCCACAACTACCGAGCCCGCGTGCCACAACCACTGAAGCCTGGGCGCCTAGAGCCCATGCTCTGCAACAAGAGAAGCCACCGCAATGAGAAGTCTGCGCACCACAACGAAGAGTAGCCCCTGCTCGACACAACTAGAGAAAGCCCGCGTGCAGCAACTAAGACCCATCACAGCCAAGAATAAATAAATGAATAAATAAATTTATTTAAAAAAAAAAAAAGACAGACCATGCCAAGTGTTAGGATGAGAAGCAATTGAAACTCAATTACACCACTGGTGGAAATGTAAAATGATACAACCTCTTTGGAAAACAGGTTGGTAGTTTCTTAAAAATTTAAGCATACACCTGTCATATGGTTCAGCCATTCCATTCCTAGGAATTTATCCAAGAAAGATAAAAACATATATTCAAAAAAATTTGTACAAGAATATTCATAGAAGATTTATTCATAATAGCCAAAAAGTAAAAACAAATCAAATATCCACCCTCAGGAGACTGGATAAACAAGTTGTGGCACATCCATACAATGGAATGCCACTCAGCAATAAAAAAGAAAATAATTATGCTGAGTGAAAGAAGCCATACCAAAAAAAAAAAGTATCTCATGTATGAGTCCATTTATATGAAATTCTAGAATAGGCAAAACAAATCAAAAGTGGTAGGAATAAGTTTAATTGTTACCTGGGGCAGAAGTAGGGTGTAATTTTCTGCGAAGGAGCGTGAGGGAATTTTGCGAGGTGATGGAAATGTTCTATATCTTGATTAGGATTGGTGGTGACACAGTTGTAGACATTTGTCAAAACCCACCAAATTATATATTTAAAATGTGTGCATTTTATTGTATGTAAGTCATACATCAGTAAAATTGATTTTAAAAAATAACTAGGATACCACAGCTTACTCACTAAAATAATTGAAATTAAAAAGACTTAAAAAAAAAAACAAGATTTAAAATGTCCAGTGTTAGTGAGGATGTTCCTGGTGTGTGAACATGGTAGAACGTCTTTGGGAAGCTCTTTGGCAGTTTCTTGTAAAGGTAAACAACACTCACCCTATGACTCAGCACCTCCACTCCTAGGTATTTACCCAAGAGAAATAAAAACATATTCCACAAAAAGACTTACACAAAAACATTCACAGCCGCTTTCATCATAATCGCTGAAAACTGGAAGCAGCCCAACTATCCATCAACAGGGGACTGGATAAATAAATTGCGGTATTTTTGTGCAATGGAATATGAACTACTCAAAAGAGGGAGGGGGGAGAAGGAGTGGCAGGAGGATGGAGAAGCGGAGGAAGAAAGAGAAAAACAAAAGATACACGCAACAACACTGAAATCCGCTATACTGGAGAAAAAAGCTAGACGCAAACGAATACATACAGTATGATTCCATTTATAGTAAATTTTAGAAGAGGCAAAGTTACTCTGTGATGCTCAGGATCAGAATAGTTGCTGCCTTAGACTGTGCAGAAGAGTAGGGGTTGATGGAAAGAGCATAATGCAACTATCTGCTGTCGTGAAAATGGTCTACATATTGATAGATGTGATTTATACAGAGTCATGCGTTTGGTAAAACTCAACAAACTATACACATGATCTGGGCGTTTCACTGAATATAAACTAACACTGAATTTTTTTAAAATCATAAAGTAGAAATTCACTTCCCAAAACTTGTGAGTCAAAAAAGAAATTATAATAAAAATTAGGCTGAAATAGATATAGAAAATATTTTAAAATTATCTTATAATGGGGCTTCCCTGGTGGCGCAGTGGTTGAGAGTCCGC